AAGAAGTTTGCAACCCATGGCACTGTAGCTAATCTCCCTGGTCGTGGACGGATGAGGAAAATTGATGAAAGATTGCAACGCAGAATAGTCCGATGGTGGATAAGCAGCCCCAAACATGTTCCAAAGACATTCAAGCTGTCCTGCAGGCTCAGGGGAGCATCAGTGTCAGCGCGAACTATCCGTCGACATTTAAATGAAATGAAACGCTATGGCAGGAGACCCAGGAGGACCCCACTGCTGACACAGAGACATAAAAAAGCAAGACTACAGTTTGCCAAAATGTACTTGAGTAAGCCAAAAGCCTTCTGGGAAAACGTCTTGTGGACAGATGAGACCAAGATAGAGCTTTTCGGTAAAGCACATCATTCTACTGTTTACCGAAAACGGAATGAGGCCTACAAAGAACAAAACACAGTACCTACGGTAAAATATGGTGGAGGTTCAATGATGTTTTGGGGTTGTTTTGCTGCCTCTGGCACTGGGTGCCTTGACTGTGTGCAAGGCATCATGAAATCTGAGGATTACCAAAGGATTTTGGGTCGCACTGTAGGGCCCAGTGTCAGAAAGCTGGGTTTGCGTCCAAGATCCTGGGTCTTCCAGCAGGACAATGACCCCAAACCATACGTCAAAAAGCACTCAGAAATGGATGGCAAAGAAGCGCTGGAGAGTTCTGAAGTGGCCAGCAATGAGCCCAGATCTAAATCCCATTGAACACCTGTGGAGAGATCTTAAAATTGCTGTTGGGAAAAGGTTTATTGTCCTTCCAATAAGAGAGACCTGGAGCTGTTTGCAAAGGAAGAGTGGTCCAAAATTCCGGGTGAGAGGTGTCAGAAGCTTATTGATGGTTATAGGAAGCGACTGATTTCAGTTATGTTTTCCAAAGGGTGTGCAACCAAATATTAAGTTAAGGGTGCCAATACTTTTGTCCAGCCCATTTTTGGGGTTTTGTGTGACATTATGTCATATTTGCTTTTCTGCCTCTGTTTTATATTTGTTCCAATACATACAAAGGGAATAAACATGTGTATAGCAAAACATGTGTTAATGCAATACCTTTTTTGTGTGAAATACTTGATTTTCAGGAAAAAATATCAAGGGTGCCAACAATTTCGGCCATGACTGTAGTTATGATCAAATACCAAGAAAAGAAAGCTCTATTTGTATGAAAAAAATGCTTCATTTGCATATAGCGTTATGACCGCAATTGCCAGTTAAAGCAGCATAGTGCTGCTGAATAGAAAAAAATGGTCTGGCCATGAAGGGGGTATAATAATGATGGCTGCATTAGTTTTCCTTTTTCAGTTTTTTTTTCTCTTTATTTTCACCTGGTGATCCAGTGAATAACACATTACTTGTCTTACGGTGGCTACTCTCTGTGAAGGAGCAGTGGAGCCACCTTTGGACAGCAGCACTGTCAACTTGTGTGAGGGTAGTATTATATGCACTAGCAAATTTAGATAGATATGACTAACAAATTAAAGCTGAACTCCAGCTAACACTTTTACACAGCTACAGCAACATTTTTTTTGTCCTTTTGGGATAAAGATTTAACCTAAATGAGTGCAAGCTAACCAATGTATGCACCCTTTTCAGTGTTGCATGGTTTGTCTCAACCTGCTAACTGCCATATTGTTGGACAGCTTGTTCTGTCAAAGGAAGTAGAAAAATAACAGATTTAATGGCTGAATCACCAGGTGAAAACAAAGGAAAACTAAAAAAAAAAATTATTGCAGACATTTGAGGATTGGTAAGCTGATAATATATTACATTTTTGCATTTGGGTTCAGATAGGCCTTCGCCTGCCGTGACCATTGTAAGGGGGCTCACTTTTACTTTTGAATTTTTTTTTTACATTTTTTCTGTATTTCAGATATAGGTTTTGAAATCCACCATAAACATATACATCCAGTGGGTTACTTCGGAAACTTTACCTAACCACTTCTTTCCTGATACATGCACAATACTAGCACAGGTTCCATATAAGACTGAAGCCTAATTCTGTGGGAAGAGTTAAAATAACAGTGAAGTTGTAATTTCTGTCTATGCCCCCACTGGGGAGATATTCCCTTTTTTCTTATTCTTGCTGTGCCCCTATAAGAAACAGGAGGCAGGAGGTGGGGTTACCACCATAGCAAACTGGCACAGAAAGCGATAAAAACCTTGTTCTAACCCTTCATCACTTTATTAAAAAATGGTTTGGTATAGAGCAGCTGTGTGGTAACACAGTTTACTTCTGTGTGCTGGCAAATCATCAACCAGCCAGCAATACTGACCGTACCAGGTTGATATTTCTGCTGTCCAATGTTGTCTCCATTGTTCATCTGTCGAATGGAGCCACCCTAAAAGAGGAAGTGTGTTACTGGCCTGATTATTAGGTGAAAATAGAAACAGCCTTAAAGAAAACAAATGCAGGCACTACATCTAAGGAATGCTATCTCATCTTGAACCAAGGGTTCCTCTTCCACCTATGCCTCTGATGGAGCAGTTTGTTTAACCCCTGGCTGCCTCTTCACTTCCAGATGTGATTTACCTATATGCCTATTATCATTAACCTTCTGGCGAGTGTACATCTGACCAAGGTGGTGGATTACCCTGTGTGATTAATTTCACATTCACATCCTGCACTTTAGAATACTGCACTTTATGAATCTATGGACACTGTTTGAACTCATTTTCTTTTAATATTGCACAAATTACCTAAGTGCAACTGTGAATATCAGTAATATTATTATTGATTATTTTAATTGCACTTGTAGTGCACTTATCATCACCTTTGCTCACGGACATAATTTCCTTACCGTTTGCTGATTTCCTGTCTATTATATTCACAAGTTTTATATATAATCAATAGAGAAGATGGGATTTTCAGGGTGCATAGACATGAATACCACACATTAAAAGTTATATAATTTTTATTTCGTATTTTGGTAAAACACAAGAAAGGAAAAGATACAAAAACATAAAAACAATTTAAATTCTAAGAATACCAACTGAGATTCAAACTTGGTTAGGTAAATGTAGTATACTCCCTACATGTTTCACCCTCACAGGCTTCTTCAGGGGAGATTTTTTTAGGAAATTTCTACCGCCAAGGCAGTCCTGGATGTGAAAGCTCACAGAGCTAAAAGAAAATGACCTAAAAAATCTTAATTGGCCTACACATTCAAAACAGTTGTAGAGGATATAATGGGCATCAGATATCATCTGTTAAATGCTTTAGGATAAATAGGTATAACCTAACAAAGATCTATTTGACCTATACATCCACAACCATAAGAAAGGAAACAATGGACATCAAACATCCATCTGTTAAATATTGCAATTCAAGTAGCAAGGAAAATGTAGGGAAAAAGAATTTTAATTGAGGATCAATTTTCAATTCCACCACCAGATATTAGCAAAGGACAAAAGTCCAGACAATATTAGCTCCGTTCAGATCCAATACAGCCTCCAAGATAATCAGTGTGCACTGGTGATTAGCAGAAAAGTTTTATATATATTTCTGTGTTGCACTTTACCGTTCCACTTGATACATTTACTTTTTCATTGTGATTTTAGCTCTGTACTTTTTTATACATATACTTGTGGGGATCGTTACGTATACCTTGCGTGCAGGGGCGGACTGACAACTCATGGGGCTCCCGGGCAATAGGGGATCATGGGGCCCCTGTGTCCTTGCCCAAACTCAAAAAAAGCCTATGAAAAAGGTACCAGGGGCATCTCATGGGGCCCCCTACTGACCCCGAGCCCTCGGGCAGTGCCTGAGTTTCCAAATGGTCAGTCCGCCCCTGCTTTCGTGCTAGCTGCTTTATAGTCATCACTAGTGCAATACATTTATTAAAAAATGTGTTTTTGTTTGTGTCCCTGATGGATAGGTTTCCCATCACCACGTCTTGTCTTAACAGAATGTAAGGGGACATCCTTCCAGTAGGGCACAGTTGCACAAATGGCAAAAAAAACTGGACAGTGGCACTGACCCTTCCCCTTTATCCAAAAAGGGCTGTTGTTGGGCTTTAAAAGAAAAAAAACAGTTATCATGCTATTGCAGCATATACCCAAAAAGGGATTATTCTCACAAAACTGCAAAATATGAATTTAGGTGGAAATGGCAGCTGTACTGCATAACTCTTAATCATTTTAATAACTCTTAATAATTTTTAATCACTGTGAATATAAGGTGTTAGGTGATGCAAAATAATACAACTAAACACTGTTTAGGGCACATCCACATTTATGGCATTTTGACCCATAAGCAAATGGGAAAAGGGAAACAGTGCCATCCAAGTGTAGCATAAAAAACAAACCAGTATTTTTTTTCACACGTATAGAAACTTAGAAGAAACAATGAGAAGAGCACTCATCTAGCTACGGGCACCACAATCTGGATCGGGTCTGGTCCCGCTGGCTGTAGATCCCTGGAAAGCTGTCCCGGACTGTACTGGTGGTTCCCAGCACTTCCTGGATGGCTTGGGTTCACTGAACTGGTGAAGATGACGACACAACAAGCAGAACTTGTTTTTTTTTAATGCTGCACTTAAATGGAGCTGTTTCCCTTTTCCCATTTGCATTTACACAGATTTCCTTCTAGCTCTTGATGAACCGGCTGCCCTAGAGTCAAGCATTTTGTGAATATTGGAGCTCATTGGACTTTAAGGGTTTTTTATCGTACCTGCCTTCCCACTATATACCTGGACTGTTTCATCTTAGTGTGCCGAAACAACCTTTTTGTTTCTTGTTCTGTTAGTATAAGTATTATAACTCTTAACCTCTTGCCGTCCGCCTGCTATTTATAAACGGCAGGGCGGTGGCAGTCCAAGGTCGGGTTGCCGTTCCTAAACGGCACCCGCCTTTTCTAGCTGTGCGCGCTCCCTAGGAGCGCGCACCACCGCGATCCGGTGTCCGCTGTGTCCTCCGGACACACAGTGAAACACCGATCGTCGGACGGGACCTCTGTACGAGGTCCCGGTCATGTGATCACTGATTGGCGAATCAGTGATCACATGCAAAGTAGTAAGCAAGATGTCACTTGTGACATCATTGCTTACTACGTGTGAAATCTGTGAATGATCACAGAGGTCACATGGTACAAGGCTATTCACAACAGCCTTGTACCATGTGACAAGCTGTGACCAATCACAGCTCACTCAGTATTTCTCAATGACTGCAAGAATGCAGACAGAGAGAAAGGGAAATGATTGCTTTTACATCCTATATGGGTGTAAAAGCAATCAGTGCAAAAAAAAAAAAAAAAAATCTTCATCACCCCCCACAAGTAGTACAGTGTCACCATGGTGACACTGTACTGCTAGGGTGACAGTATGTAAAAATAAAAAATAAAAATAAAAAATAATATAAAAAAAAATAAAATAAAAATGTAAAAAAAAATTTTTAAAAATTATAATGTTTGGTTATAAACTAATTTGGATTTTTTTTTTTTACTAAAAAAATAACGGAATAAATTTTGGCCAAGATTTAGGATGAAATATTATTTATTTGCAAAATTTTATTTAAAAAAACACTTTTTTTTCAAAATTTTTGGACTTTTTCATTTACATAGTAAAAAAAATAAAAATCCCAGCGGTGAATAAATACCACCAAAATAAAGCTTTATCTGTCTCAAAAAAATGGTAAAAAATTCATATGGGTACAGTATTGCATGACCACGCAATTGTCATTCAAAGTGTGATAGCGCTGAAAGCTGAAAATTGCCCTGGACAGGAAGGGGGTAAAAGTGTCCGGACAGGAAGTGGTTAATGATTCAAACACAGCTAGCATGATTTGGGCCGCTTGTCTACCTATTGCTGCTCTCCTATGTTTTAATTGGCTTAATAACACATACAGTACCTGTCATAAAGAAATGCACTTCTCCTCTTAGTGCCTCTTGGATGAATAGTCCGTGATGTCCTACTTTAAAAAGACAGAGTCACCTTGCACATTGGGCAAGATGACAATGACTTTTTAAGGGGTCCATCCTGAACCACTGGTACTCATCCCCAGTATTCTAGTGTTGGTTGGAGTTGGGTGTTAAGAGAAGCAGTGAAGTTACCCACCTGGTTATGTGGCAGTAATTGGGCCTAACAATTGGCTGCTAAATCTGAGCTTTGCTACATGGTAGGAGGCCACATGCTCCTCTATACCTGGAAGCTCCAGCTTTTGTCACCAGCTGCAATGGTGGTAAAAGCAGAAATTGAGTGCTGGTAAGATGAGTATCAGGGGTTCAGGAAGGGGAGAGTGAGCATCCTTTTACAAAGAATGGGCAAGGTTGGTGACAGTGTCTTGTCAACTAGTGGTCTTCTTTTTCATTGGAGATAACAAAGACATGCATGTTATATGCGTCAGACTCTGTTAAACCCTGTGATCCCTCCAGTGCCCAAACAAACATACTTTTATTAGTAACTATAAAACTAAGAATTGCTAAAAAGTCTGAGAATGGCATATTTATTGCAGAAACAGACTGTCAGGTGTTTATGTCAACGCCTGTGATCTGTTCATCAAAAAACTGTTTTTATCTTACTGTCACCAGGTTTTAGCAGCAACTGTTACCATTTAATATCCAGAATTTCCAAATGTTCTTCAATCTGCAGAGAAAATATATATCAATAATCATTCTTGTTCATGTGTGTTAGATAATGACAGACTTTCAAGCTGTGAATTGAAATAGGAATGCTTTGCCATTTTAAATATAAAAGAAAGTAGTTTAGCATGAGTTGATCCAATATGAATGATTATCTTGTGATACGGAGCTAGAAATTTTCTGTAAGCATATATTACTTGCAGGCAATCTTGTTAATGTAATCATATTTTTTTATATTTAGTAAATATAAAGAAAAGTAAAAAAAGAAAAGATTTAAAGCTGTGTTGTTAGCTGGCATGGTTTATTGACCCGTCCAGATTGTTGAGAGTAGCTTATGAACAGGGACCTATTTGTGTGAAAGATCTATTCATAAGCCTGATTTTTTGGCTATGATGAATGTAGCAGTATATGTTTATACTACAGTTAATCTGTTCCTGCATAGGTATTTCTATTTGTAGTGTGCATCTTTATAATTATAGTAAAGGTTTTTTGTATCATAATGTTTTTTTTACTGCTATTTGTTGTATGTGTGTACCTTTTGAAGTACTTTAAAGAAGATCACTATGTACCATCAAGCAGCTGGATAAGTTCTGTCTGGTTAAGCACAGTAATTGCTGTTCAAATGATGTTGTTTATTAACCAAACAGTATAAAACAAATGAGAAATTGAATAACTGAGTACATCTAGCACCCTTATAAACACCTCCAGACTTGACACTGTGGGGTTTATTTAGTAAAGCTGGACATTATGAATGGTGTGATGATCATGGATGCTGTAATGGTGTTGCGCTGATCAGGGACAAAATAACTGGTGTGTGTGGGGATGAGGCACACTGTGACTGTTGTGGTGGTGATCAGTGACACTGTAACTGGTGTAGTGATCGGGGACAATATCAGGTGACAGGCACACTGTGACTGTTGTGTGGTGACACGGGATGAGTGGCACACAGGTGTGACTGTTGTGACTGTGTGGTGATCAGTGACACGGTAACTGGTGTGGTAGTGATCAGGGACAATATGACAGGTGTGGAGGTGATCAGGCACACTGTGACTGTTGTGGTGATCAGTGACACGGTAACTGGTGTGGTAGTGATCAGGGACAATATGACAGGTGTGGAGGTGATTAGGAACAATATGACTGGTGTGGCAATGATCACGGACACTGTAACTGGTGTGGTAGTGATCAGGGACAATATGACAGGTGTGGAGGTGATCAGGCACACTGTGACTGTTGTGGTGATCAGTGACACTGTAACTGGTGTGGTAGTGATCAGGGACAATATGACAGGTGTGGAGGTGATTAGGAACAATATGACTGGTGTGGCAATGATCACGGACACTGTAACTGGTGTGGTAGTGATCAGGGACAATATGACAGGTGTGGAGGTGATCAGACACATGTGACTGTTGTGGTGATCAGTGACACTGTAACTGGTGTGGTAGTGATCAGGGACAATATGACAGGTGTGGAGGTGATTAGGAACAATATGACTGGTGTGGCGATGATCATGGACACTGTAACTGGTGTGGTAGTGATCAGGGACAATATGACAGGTGTGGTGATGATTAGGAACAATATGACTGGTGTGGTGGTGATCAGTGACACTGTAACTGGTGTGGTAGTGATCAGGGATGATATGACAGGTGTGGAGATGATTAGGAACAATATGACTGGTGTGGCGATGATCATGGACACTGTAACTGGTGTGGTGGTGATCAGGGACACGGTGGAGTTTATTTACTAAAGCTGGTAAGTGCACAATCAGATGCACTTCTGCATAGAAACCAATCAGGTTCCATGTTGTATTACCAAAGCTTAGTTGTACAAGATGAAGTTAGAATCTGATTGGCTACCATGCACAGCTGCACCAGATTCTGAGTGAACCAGCTTTAGTAAATAAACCCCTGTGTTTTGTGCTCTTCAAAAAACCAGAGAAGTTAAAAAGATAGAGGCCACAGTCCTTGTTCACCTTAAAGTGTAACCTCAGCCAATTTATTTAACACCTTCCCACCCAGCCTATAGCAGAATGAAGGCCGGGTGGGATACTTGCCATTTTGACTGGGCGTCATATCACGGCCTGTGAAAATGAGCTGCTCACGCTTCCTGCCATGCCATCCATTGTATACAATTGCTTTGTTCACTGTGATTGTGATGTGATCAGCTTTGCCCAATAACAGCTAATCACAACAAAAGATTGAATGAATCAGTTTCATTCAGTAACAATGATTGTAAATATCAATGAAATACATTGGTATTAGTAATCATAATGTGTTAAAAAAAAAAGAAAAATCCTGATCACTTGCCCAGAGTATTTCAATGTTACTATGGTAACATTGTATTGGTTTGGTCGCAATGTGCTGAAAAAAAATTGTAAAGAAAAGAAAAAATAATGTAATAAAAAATTTTAAAAAATTGAACCAGTTAAAAAAAAAATACAAATTAAATTGTTATTATACTTTTCATATTTTCACCAAAGAAATGCAGCAGAATACATTTTGACCTAAATTTATGACGAAATGTTATTTATTTGCAAAATAAATTTTATAACAGAAATGAAGAAAAGTATGTTTTTCAAAAGTTTCAGGTGTTTTTTGTTTTATCTTGCAAAAAATAAAAAACTCAGTGGCGAATAAATACATCCAAAAGAAAGCTCTATTTGTCTGAAAAAAATGATAAAAATGTCATATGGGTACAGTGTTGCATGACCGCACAATTGTCATTCAAAGTGTGACAGCGCTGAAAGCTGAAAATTGGCCTGGGCAGGAAGGAGGTAAAAGTGCCTGGTAGGCAAGTGGTTAAATATATAAAATGAATAATGCATATAATGGGAAAACTCTGTTTGGTTTATGTTGCTGTCTTTTTCTCAGTTGGACCATGTTTTTTTATGTCGAGCCCCACTGATGGTGGTCATCAAGACATCAATAAACACAGGAAGGGTTACAGCTTGCCAGATTAGTATTGTAATCCGTGTCTACACTTGGGTAAGGTCACTGATACAGGAAGCAAGTGGAAATTTCCTGAAAGGGTTAGAACACCTTAAAAAAAATATATGGCATGCAGTCATCAACACTATTCCATCATTTTAAACTAAGCAGGTTTAAAAAATATCCATTTATGCTCCTCCTAAACCCACAGGCTATTTGTGCATGCAGTGAAGCCTACCCCAAAATGCGTCTGATATTTTCACTGCTCCATTCTGTACCCTCTCTAGGATGGACAAGCCATTAGTACAAGCACCCTCTAGCAGTACTGGTGGAAGCACAATCCTTCTGAGCCCTGCACATGCGCATTGTGCTCTCCACTGAGCAGATGAGCTCAGTGGCTGTGGCGGGAGAAAGAGCGTTACAGTCGCTGAGGACATGTGTGGTGACAAGTGGTGACATGCACATGTGAGGGGCTCAGAAAGGTGGCACTCATTCCTATACTGCTAGGGGGCACTCATCCTAATGGTTGTTCCATTCTAGAGAGAGGACAGGACAAAGCTATGAACCATATCAAAAGTGTTTTGGGCAAGTTTCAAT